CTAGGTGTTTTAAACCATACTCTTTTCAACAACAAGAACAACCATTGCTTGTATTTTAGAAAATTAGAGTGTAGCAATTTCTATGTTTGTAAAGATTCTAAATGTATATTAGATCAGAAAGATAATTCTTGAAATTTAAACCATTATTTTTGTCTTTCTTTTAGACTGTCTCATAAAACTAGGCGGCTTAGTTTACACAGTGAGAATCATAGAGGTGGAATCCTCTAAACCTAAATCTTGGCCCAACTACACTGCATCACCTTGCTTGATTTTTTTTTTTCTTTAATTTTATTTGAATTTGATCTTATATGTTGCAAAGCAAATACTAATATACTATGATCCAGTTAGCTACTTTGATTCATTTCTATGATTTTCAATTTTTATAATTATATTGGATTGTTATAACGAGTTTCAGTTTTCTAATTTTTTCCCTTTTTTCATAGTGCCAAGTTGACATGAAGGGTATGTTAACAAAATGTTACTCTTACTAGCGATTGACCCGCGGTACACCGCAGGTTGATTTTTTTCTAGAATTTATGATTTTCAAATTTTTTAAATTATGTATTATATATAAAAATTAGCAAATTGTATCATTTTTAAGACATTTATAATGTATAGTTTATAATTGTCATTATGTAACGGTATACTACGGAATAATTTTTGTTTTATACAATCTTAACTAAATTAGACTGATTCGATATGTCTAATATTACAGGTCTTCCAAAATAATAAAATGAGGATTTAACCCGTATTGAAGGGACATGTTAATAATATTTTAAAATTTTATTAATTTTGATTTAAACCCTTCCCGCCATATAACTTACCCCACCATATAATTTATCCCGTAATATAACCCGTCATGTGTTAGTTTAAAATATTGATATGTTCAAATATTTATAATATTTTAAAAAATTTATTGATTTTGAATATATAAATTATAATAATTATTTTTTAAAAAAATTATACAGATTTTTTGAATTCTGATTGTTAGTACTTAGTAGTATTAAAAATTTGTTTGGGCGATTTTGTGTTGATAATATAGGACAATTATGGTAAGTGATTTTGAATTGAAAATCTTAATTTAAATAGAGTATAAATGATCATTGTCTAGATATTAGGAAAGATTGTCTCTAGATTTTTGGTAAAAAAATTAGATTTGCATATATTTAATTAAAGAAACAAATCTTGAGAATTAATGTCAATGACATTACATTGTAAATAAGTGCTAACTCCAGGATTTATTTCAAAAATGTTTCCGAAAATGTATATATAGATTCTTTCCAACAATTGTTTTTTATTGGGAAATTGTTGCTCTCATTTTTTTGGTTATAAGATGTTCATAAAAGGATATATTTCCTCCGTTTCAAATTAATTGATGTTTAGGAAGAAAATTTTGTTTCTCTTTATTTGATGTTCTCAAATTTTACTACAAAATTAGTTATATTTATGTTTTATGGTCATTTGTATTATGCAAACTGTCTAATCTATTGGTTGAATTGTGTTTTAAATAGATAATAAATGATGTTTTAATACACAACCTTAAACATCAGTTAAAATGAAACATATGAAGCGTTTCAGCTTAAACAAAACTTAAAAAAAATCATCAAACAACTCTAATTATTTAAGAGTGAATTTGGAAAAATACCCTCCTTATGACTTTTTGTTTGAAAAATACCGTATTCTTTTTTTTTTCTCTTTTAAAAACTATTTTTAATATATAAAATTACTAAAATAACCACTAAAATTTAGTACTAATTAAAAAGAAGTTATCATTAAACAGAAAATTCAATAATTTAATTTTTAAATTAGAATTTGATGTAACTAACAATTTTAAAGATAATCCTTATCTTAAATCTTTTTTTGAAAATAATTTACGATTCTTGGAGCGTTGGAAATTGATTCTTTATATAATGTGACAAATATTATGTGATAGACGGTAGAATATTTATAGATATTATCTTGTTGAATTTTAATATATAAAAAAATTGCCTTTATCTCAAAATATTTAAAAATAATTAATATTTCGAATCTTGTTTATTATTTTTTCTTCTAAATTTCTAATTTAGTTTTAATTTATTAAAAATACAACATTTTAAATGTGGATAAAATTGTCATTTTACATATTAAAAATTTTAGTTTGTATTTCTATTGGAACGAAAAATTGTAGGTTTTATTGAAAATAGAGAAAGATGTATTTTTCAAACAAAAACTCATAAATATGATAGTTTTCAAAATTTACCCTTTTTATTAGCGCACACAAATGATATTTGGGAAAATTGGAAATAAAGGATATCTACTAAAATTTTTGTCCATATACACTTTTTTGGTGAGATTGTCAATTTGGACGAAATTACCCCTACACCCTATTTTAAACATTTTAAAAAAAATAATCATAAAAATATGTAGATATACAAGAGTAGATGTGATTTGAAGTGAAATTTTTTAGATTTGGTTAAAAAAAAGTTGATTTAATTAAAGATAAAGTTTTGTCTAATTTTGTTAGAACACGTTTTCTAGAGTTCTGCAAAACTTAGAGTGTGTCTTCTGCATTTTTGTACTTGTTCTACATATTTTAGATTAGATTTCTGTTCTGAAAATTTTAGAAATCCGAAAATCATATATCTAAAATATTTAGAACATGCATTCTACGCTTTGCTCTATGTTCTAAATATTTTTGAATAGACGTTCTAATAATTTCTACATCTTATGCCATCCTTAGAAATTGTAATCTTCGTTTAGAATGTAAATTCTACGGAATTGTAGATTTCGTTTTCTGTAATTTTTAGAATGTTCTAAATATAGAAAGTAAATCTTCAGAAAAGGAAACAAAATATTTGTTTTAGATTACGATTTAAATAGATATTTATTGTATAGATTACGATCTAAAAAATGTAGATGTTGTTGTCTACGGTTTTTTTAGAAAAAGATAAAAACCTAAAACGTTTTCTAAACCCTTAGAGCTGAGAGTTTCAAATCAAATTACTGGAGTTTACTTCAGGGTACTAAAGATGAAACCAAACTCGAAATTCATCCCCAGTGGCTACTCTTTCAAACCAAAATAATAGAAAAAAATATTTAAACAGTTCAAGAAGGATCACAAAAGAATTCTAATTTCATAAACTTTGGTCTGATTTCATGTTAAGAAAATGAGCCACAATATAAAGAGGAGATTCAATTAAAAACAAGAAAAAGTACAAACACACACAAGAATTAGGGAACACACAAAAAAGTCTTCAACATGCAGAAACAAATTTGAATAAAGATTGAAACATGAATTAAGACATAAAAGATATTTCCAATGACGTAGATGAAGAAGATTTACAAGAGACAAAACCTATAACCAAAATAAAATAAACAAGACACGTATATGAGCTACTCATGACACACATACACACAAAAATAGTGAACTAAATAGATCAATAAGAGATATGAGAAACAATTTACACATGCACCAATTGAGACATAGCTGAGAATTTCTAAATCAAACAGAAAGTGAGACAGAGTTTAGAGTATTTGCATTGGTAAAAATATTTCTAAAACACGTAAGATGCAATGAAAAAAAGAATGGGAAAAAGTCTTTTATTAGGTCTTAGAAAGACTCTTATTCATTTGGAAGTTTTGTGATTTTTCTATTTCTATTTTAGTTTTGTAAAATCAATTATGAAGTTTAATTTTTTGAATTGATTTTGAGAGTAAGTGAGGGTAAAGTTGGGTTTTGATTTTTAAAAAACCTATTTGACCAATCTACAAAAAAAATGGGATATATGGACAAAATTTTAAGTAGATATCCTTTATATCTAATTTGAGTCAAAAAGGGAAAAAGAATTAATAAAAAAAACAAAGGTCAGATTCTTAGTTTTTTGATCATCTGGGGTATATATATTAACATAGCCCATAAATAAGTATATTAAACTAAAAAACAATTATTGTTAGAAAGACGTAAGACTCTGAATGTGATGCGAGAAAGTATGGAGCCTATTCAGTCTTTTGTCTCCAAGTCCATTACTGAGCCTAAATTCTTCGTCCCTAGTTCCTCTAAATTCGACTTTTCTGAAGCTGTTTTACTTCGGATCAAAATATAAAATATAAAAAGATTTGAGAAACGTGGATGGTACGTAGATAAACTCTCCGGCAATACCATCTAGTTTGAAATCAGTTTTCAAACTCCGACCATACATGACCATATGTGTTTCTCTGCGTCCTCCAAAGTCCACAATGTAATACTGCCATCGACATCGTTCTTCATGGTACTATTAAGACAATGCTAACCTATACCCTGATAAAGTGATAAGGTATGAGCATGATAGCAAAACTTCTATTGAATTTTATTGAATTTCTATTGAATTTACATGCATGAAGTTTCCTCGACATACAGATCCTCCCGGGGGCTGGGAAGGTCTAGCTCCCGACCATCTTTTGGTCCAGTTAGCATCTGATTGGACAATCGACGTCTAACATTTCCACCCGTTAAATGTTTGGAAAACATTACACTTTACATATATGATTCTTTCACTAGTCAACCAGTGTTCATCGTTGAATATGATTCTTTTGAGTCAATGAAAGCTACTATAAATACGATCATATTGATCTCTTAAACTTCAAATAAGATGTATGCATAGTGGTCCCTTGTGCATTAATTCATGTTTTGTAATTTACTACTAAATCACAAAGGAACTTTGGTAATGAAATATATAGAATCATACGAAAAAAATGAAAACAAAAATCAACCATAAAGTTCCATATTTTAAGTGTCATTCGTAGGAAATCGATCGTGAAGTCAAAAAATCCATCAGTGCAAGAAGACTCAAGAAGCGTTTCAGAACGCCTATGAGACATTGGTTGCACTGATTCTATATTTTCAAAAGCTATCTCTTTGCATTCTTGTTTTATTTTTTTGCCAAGAAACCAACTCAAGGTTGAACTCCATGTAAAACCAAACATTTCATTTATATGATATTTGCCATTTAGCAAAAAAAAGTGTCATTCGTAGGGGAAAAATACTCAAATGAACTGTTTCAAATTGTCACACACAAAAACTAAGTGTCATTCTAAGGGTAGGAAAAAGACGATCATCAATAAATTGTTTTAATTGTTAGAAAGACACGAGACTCTCGACGTGATTGGGAATAGTATAGAGAGCACGCAGACGTTTGTTTCCAATCACTCTCGACGTGATTGGGAAAATTTTCATCCGCAATTCCTTTAAATTCGACTCTTCGCAAGCTGTTTCTCACCGGATCAAAATATAAAATAAAAAAGGATTTAAGAAACGTGAGAGGTACCAAAATAAACTCACCAGCATCAGTGACACCATCTATTTTGTAACTTGTTTCCAATCTCGGACCAAAAGGTGTAACAAAGTGTTTACAGGACCACCTATATATGTTTCTCTTTATCCTCCAAAATCCACAGTTTAATACCACCGTTGTCCATGGGATTATAATAATCAAGATAAGATAACCTTCCTTCATAAGATATCATCATGCCCCAAAAATCATTCAATGGTAATTTTATCATATCAAACTTTTCAGTTCTGACATCAAAACTCATTATAATGCTAGCATCTGAATCATCATCTAGTAAGGCTGCATAATATAGAACACCGTTGATGCATCGCGCATAACAGCCAATGTAAGCAAAATGCTTATGGTTGGTTTTGACCGTTCTCCACGACTGTTGAGCAGATCCCAATGTTAAAACCCGACAGTACTCACCAGAAACTTTATAACCACGACGCATACACACTACTTTGTGTTTACCCTCGATTGGATCGTATCCCAAAAAGACTTTTATATCCTTCCACCTCTTTCCGGGTTTGGTTAACTTTACGAACTGTCTCATGCTAGGGTTCCAAGTTATGTGGCGATTTACTGATGTTCGAAAGCAAATCAAGCCGTGGACAGATTCCGCAAAAGGGAAAGAACAATCTTTGGGGTATTTCATATGATAACAATCCACATGCTGAGAAAAAGAACGAGGCTCGTTCGAATTCTGATTGTGGTGCGGAAACGAGAAAACAAACAACTTGTCCTTGTTCTTGAAGAACACTAGAAGACTTGGCCGTGTTGAGAAGCGAGTTTCGAACTTGTTGGTAAATTAAACACAAAATAAGAATATTAAAAATAAAGAAAGCAACTAAAATCTGGTTTTAAATTAGATGAGAAAAACGTCAGGTTTAGAGAATTTCTCAGGATATATCAGAATTGTAGATCTAACAATTATTAAAGAATCGTTCTAGAACTCAAATCACAAAAGTATAATCAACCAACTCTTATCTGTATTGACTATCTATGCCTAATAGTAAGAATTCCAACTCTCGTCTGTAAATCCCTTAAACTAAAGAAGCAATATTAACGATCAAGTTTGATATGTTCACAAAAGTATCTAAACCAATTCTCGTATGAGAATAGCTATTTTTGCCAACTTAAGATAGTTCATGTAATATGCGCACTCTCGTGTCTAACATATTATTGTAGGATCAAATTCTAGTTAGCTACTCTAGAATTAGCATTAAGAACAATCAAAAGTGAAAAACTCTATAAATTTTATCCTAATTGGTTATCGATCTAACAATTCATCTAATTCCCTATTGAGAATCCCTAAACCTAACAAGAGAACTACTCAAACATGGTGATTGAAGTAAACAACATGATCGAAATATATTGCATTAAGAAATTAAGAAGAGATTAGAGTTTAGAAAAAGATTTTCTTTGAAAGAGCTCTCTCCAATTATCTCCCAAAGGGTTCAAGCTCCAAAGAACAAAAAGTTGAAAACAAGATAAAATCAAGCTTAGGTCTAAACAATGACCTTAAAATCCTATTTATATCTAAAAACACGAGAAGGGATTTGTTTGCAAATAGAGAAGTCTTTTGGGACGATTCTGCAGTTCTTCAAAACTTCATAAACACGTGAAATCAAGTTGCTGTCAGATATTGGTGTCGATCGACACCAGGGTGTGTCGATCGACACTAATCCCATGATTTGACTTCGAGTTCATTTTTTCAGCTTAACTTCCTGATTTTGCTCCAGAATGCTCCATTATCTCTCCAAATGCATCTCAAACGTGTGAAGACCTAAAAATGACTAGAAAAGACTCTAGAAAAAACAAAAAACTCTAAAAATAATACATATATCATGGTTAAAAACCGTAAAAACCATGATATATCACCAATCATATTTTACTACCAAAATTTTTACTTTAAATATCGCTTGTGTAACACACATTTTGTTATTGTATACTTTTAGATCGCAAAAGAACTTAGTAATGAATTGAAACGGGATAGAATTAAAGTAAGTTAGGAAAAATTGAGAATCCGCATAATACATATGGAATCAAATCAAATTTACATGAAAGACAAGAAAAAAAAAACGTACGGAAATTTATGATTCAAAAAAAGAACTAAACTAAACTAAAAACAATTGTTAATAGAAAGACGTAAGACTCTGCATGTGATGCGAGAAAGTATGGAGCCTATTCTGTCTTTTGTCTCCAAATCCATTACTGAGCCTAAATTCTTCGTCCGTAGTTCCTCTAAACTCGACTTTTCTGAAGTTGCTTTTCTTCGGATCAAAATATAAAATATAAAATGATTTGAGAAACGTGGATGGTACTGGTACGTAAATAAACTCTCCATCATGAGTGATACCATCTAGTTTGAAATCAGTTATCAAACTCCGACCATAATGAGCAAAAGGAGCAAGAAAGAGTTTACATGACCATATGTGTTTCTCTGCATTCTCCAAAGTCCACAATGTAATACCACCATTGACATCGTTCTTCATGGTATTATTAACACATGCTAACCTACCCTGATAAGGTATCAGCATGTTCGCAAAACTACCGGAGGCAATTCTATCGTATCAAAATTTTCAGATCTAACATTAAAACTCATTATAGCAGGATTGCTAAACCCCATCTGATCAATATAGGCTTGATAATATATAACACCGTTAATGCATTGTCCATCTATACTATTAATTGGGAAGGACTCAAACATAAATAACCTTATAAAGTGTAAAGTATTACAAAAATACCATTGGTTTTAGTTTTTAAATAAATTCATTAAATATATAATAGTAATCACAAAATAATATATTTAAATAAAAAATAATAAAATTCTTTAAAGTAATTATTTGTTTCCAAAAAATTAAACTCACTTTCTCTCTCTTATTAATTTATGGACGAAAATTTATTTTTTTTTTCTAAAAATTTGTTAACCAATGAGAATTGAAAAACTAAGATTTGATATCCAACTAAAATTTTATCTAAACCAATCCTAATAAACTATTCTATATCAAAAATAAAAAGAAAAATAATACCATTTTAATTCAAAAGTAAAAACATTATAGTTTAAATTTTTTTTATCAATGGAGGATTTTAAGATTGAATATGAAATTTCGTAAAAAAATTAAATACAAATATTTAAGACTCGGTTTTGTTATAATATTTTCACAAATTTTGAAATATAAAACAAAATTTTATTTCGCAATTTCTAAAAAATGATATTGGGCATTCATTTAGAGCAAGTTTCGCAAATAGCTAAACAATAGATTGTACATATTAATTTCGAAATACTTTGTGTTTTCTTTTTTTTCTTCTCAACCGGATCTTCCTTAAACCAATCCATAATATATTGCACACAGTTTTCGAAATAATGTGAACTAATTATATATTTTGCATTCAAAAAATATTATGCAGCAATAGCATATCCCTTTTATAGATATATCTCAAATTTTAATTTTAGTCTAAAAAATCGAATTAATTATGATTAAACAATGAAAAGAAAAATATGCAAAATTTAGCTAGAAACATTAATAAATTTGTTAAAATATATTTATAAATTTAACAGCATACATATTAATCTGCAAAACTCACAGTATATATTGTAATATTGTATGGTATTTAAAGGTAAGCAAACAAGAATTTGGAACATAATTTTAATGGAATAAAATGGAAATAAAAATTACGAGACGAGATGGAAGGGGAACATATATTAAAAACCAACTAAATACCCAATTGGTATGAGTTTGGGTTATGAGCACTATATAAAATAAATTTTTTTACACATAACCATGTACATACGTTTTCAGTTATACATACTGTATTTATGATAGATATGGGACCGTAATATTTTTATTTTATGTGTACATGACAGATACCAGAAAGGATATGTTTCATGTTCCAAAATAGTTACGTCTTGCTAATATACATGAAATAACCCAAACTAAAACCGAAATTCATATTCTATTTAACATATATAAGCAAACTGTTAGAACTGTTTTGATTAGTTAAGAAAATAAAAATGTAACACCATTTAAATTTTGCAACTAAATTAGTCCGGATCTTAAAATATGATTATGCATTAACGCAACTGAATTTTTTGTTCATTACTCTAACTTTATAATATTTATATTATTACGAAGTTCACTAATACAACAAAATATTTTGTATTTTTAAAATCTATATAACAATTTCTATAAAAATATTTCTACACGTACGTAGATCCAGATCTAATACACTAAAATATATATCATAAAACAACAAAATAATCTATATTGAATTAAATTTTGTTAAAAAACATTTTAAAATATGAAAGCCCGCACGTACGTGCGGGTCATGATCTAGTAATAATTACAAGAGATAGAACGATGCTTATGGTTAGTTTTGATCCTTCTCCACGACTTTTGAGCTAATCCCAGTGTTAAAACCCTACACTCGTCGCATGTGCTATCACGAGGTATGCACATTAGTTTGTGTTTACCTTCGACCGGATCGTATCCTAAAAGGACTGATAATCCCTTCCAGCTTTTTTCCGGTTTAGGTAAGATTAAAAACTGTCTCATGGTAGGGTTCCAAATTATGGGTTTTGTAGATATTCGAAAGCTGATCAAGCCGTGGACTGATTCCGTGAAGCGGAAGCAACATTGTTTAGGGTATTTGATATGGTAACTATCCACATGCTGAGAATAAGAATGAGGCTCGTTCGAATTCTGATTGTGGTGCGGAAACGTGTAAACAAACAACTTGCCCCTGCTTTTGAAGAACATTAGAAGACTTGGTCGTGTTGAGGATCGAGCTCCGTATGCGTTGGTAAAATATGGATCGGTGGTGATTGATAACCAGAGCTTCGAAACACAACGAAACCTCAAAACAGATTTAACAGGTAGTCTTAAGAGTATCTCTAAGATTAGATCGAGAGGAAAGAGCAATGTTGTTGTTTTCGGTGTCGAAGAAGATTGTCTTTTTCGTCTTTTTCGGTGGATACGTTCGGTGTTTTCTTCTGGTTGCATCATCGCTGGCTAAAACTTTTATGTTGTTTCCTCTGTGTTACTTCCTTTCCACGAAATCGTTCCCCTATCGATGTCTTTTGAACTTTTTTATTCGTATCTTAACTTATATATAGAGTACGTTTTTTTTTTGTTTCTTACTTATTATAAATTTAATAATATAGATAATTTTAGGAGATTAGGACATCGACCTATATTTATCATTGTTGTTCGGTAAATTTACAATTTGTTTATATATTTTATTACTATATAGGTAGATTTTTATTTATTAACAATAAAAGATAGACAATAGCCTCAAGGGCTATATTCGATTCTTGGCTGCCTTTTATCGTCTCATATATATTTGGGGAAATTACGTCAAATAGCTTAAAAAAGTCCACTAATTATTCAAAAGGCTTAGCGAAAAAAATCTTTAATAGAAAGGCTTAAAAAAGTTTTAAAAAGACTTTAAAACCAATAAAATTTCTTTATTTACAATTCATGCCATTTTCAATTAAAAATCCCAAAAAAAAATGCAGAAATTATATAACAAGAAAAATAACAAAATAGCAAAAGCAAACAAATGAAAAGAAAACTCTCTCAACCTCGAGCCACCCGTAAACCCTAGATCTCTCACGGTCGCCGGCAAACCCAATGGCTAAGAAAAATAAATCCCCGCCTAAGGGCTCTCAAACGATGAGGAAGAAAGGAAAGGAATTTACCTTAACCTCGGGTGAGCTCTGTGTTGAAATTCCGGAACAAGCACCGATGGGAGAAATTCATCATAGATCTGTTTCACGGGAATGCTCCTAGTCCAGGTGCTCTTCACGCCATCACAAACGGCATTTGGAGCAACAGATTACGTGATATTACGGTTTTTAAGCTCTCGGATAAATCTTTTCTTATCAAGATCTCGAACCCAGAAACTCGGAAGAGGGTCCTGGTTTGTCTCCGAAGATCCCAACTCTCACTAGAGTTCTTGGACAATTTTCTAGAAGCTCTTCACTTGTACGTATATCTTTGATTATTTCTCAATTTATTGTGTTATCGTTTAGAAATTATCTCAATTATTTTGTTTCATTACATATACAATCGAGATTGGAAGAAAATAGAAGCAAAACTCTTTTCTCTTTTCTTGTTCAATCCGTCTAGGGCATTTTGTTTCAATATGCTTTTACTTTCGATTGGATTGATTTCGAGTATAGAGGTGAATTTCGTTTCTGGGTTTATACAATTTTGTTGGTTTCTTTTCAGATGTGTGTAAGAAGCCGATAGATGGTTTCATAGCTGGGTTCGTTGATGAGAATGATGTTTTCCAATGGAGCTTCTCAATTATGGGTTGTAGTAAGTTTTTTTCTAATCTCTCATGTTTCTGTTGATTGGAGATATTATTATTCAAACTAAACTGCAGGGCCTTGATTTTTTTTCTCACTCATCTTTGTCTCCAAATTTTGTTTGTTTTTAGCCTATTGCAAGTGGTAACTAGCTTTTGCATCTTGTAAATCTTCTTTGTGGAACGAAGTAGCTAACACAATTGAGGTGTAAAATAAATTTTCTGATTTTTTTTTTGCGTCTTGAACCTAGTTTTGGATTAAAATTATCATGCTTATAGATAGTCACAAATTCACCAGACTAATACTTTGGTCGTATCTTTGTTACAGATTTAGAGGAAAATATGATTGAGAAACAGTCTCACACCACTAATTCACTAACAACACTACGTATTGCTCGAAGGTGTAGTGTCTCTTACTTTAAAATATTTATAATGGTTTTCAAAGATGATTTCTATTGGAAGTATTTTTTTACTTTCATCATAGAGGTGTAGTAAACGTCGTAGTGGAAGAGAGATCTTTGAAACAAAACTAATGAGGGCTTTGTTGAAGCTTGGAAACTATCGGTTCAACTTTTGCTCTTGACAGTGTTTTTTGTTGGTAGTTAATATTAGCTGTGATTTATGGCTGCTGATTGCTACAATTTTGTTTGTTAGGAGATTTTTGTTGAAGGATTAGCTTATCAGTATTTATGGTTCCAATAATCGTTTGTTTTTCCATGAGAGCAGATTGTTGTGATGGAAGTCATGAGTATGATGGTCAAGTGACATGCCCAAATACATGCTCGGAATCTGAAAAGCTGCTCGAGAAAGTCTGAAGAAAAAAGTCAAGAGACATATAACCAAAGGTTTGTAATTATACATTGGAGGTGGACTGGTGTCTTACCCAATTCTCAGATCGTCAAGAACGAAGGGGCCGAGTCACTCTTCAAGGGTGCAGGTGCCAACATAGTGATGGGATTGTAATTTGTACTTTGTGACTACTGACTTGACTACTGACTACAGTAATTTGATTTTGTATTGATAACCGAGCAAAACCAAAATACGATTTTGACTTTATTTACACAAAACCGGAACCAAATTACAAGTTTGGTTTCACTTCGGATTGAATATTATCTGACCTGAACCGAGCCGAACTCGAAAAAAAAAACCAGAATTACACCGATTCGAATTTGGTAATTTGATTCAAGCCTAGATCGATCTATTAGTTTTTCAGTTTGTTTTCCGAACAGAGATGCCCATGCATTTGTCTTTGTGTTGTGGTCCACGATGCTTTGCAAAGTGGATGATCAAGTTTCATCATTGGCCTTTTAACTCTTCTAAGGAATATTGGAGAAATACATCATCAGAAGACACGCTTGGGTCAGCAAATTGACAACACATGCGAAAAAATATCTTTTGACGACGGTGGAGATGAAGAAGAAGAGTCTTTGGTAGAACCTTTACGTCCGATGTTTAATATCAAGTTCCAAGGGAACTGTTCATAGCTTTTCTTTTGACATGTAACATGAATCCAAAACTATTATTTGCAAGATTGATTTCTTTCTTTCTTTAGTTAGTGTTCAAATTGTCTGATTTGTAAATCAAAATTCTGGCTCAAACATGACAACATCATGGAGTACACTCACACAATGACAAGGCATGCTCTTAGGAAGTTTCTAATTTTTATTTCATACACACTTAGGAAATTAACCTAAGGGGTTAATGTGCAGCATTGTCAGAAAGATGGGTTACGGCGAAGGATTTAAATGGGTTTCTCAATATATCGACTAGTCTCAAAACTGTGCTTTTTTTTTTTTTTTTTTTTGTTCTTCGTCTTCACAAAAACGATTCTCTAGATTTTGGAAACGTATCTTGATTCCCACAAGTAAAGACGACTTCTTCCTCTCAGATCTAATAGAATCAACAAATGTATTTTTAACAATCACAATCAGATGTGAAAACGAAATCATGTTCTTGTAGCTAATGATAAACAATTCGTTCCTTCATTTTTGCAGCTAATGATAAACAAGCTACTGATAACAATCGAATCGCCTACGATTCATCACTCTGCAACTTGAAAAAGAAATCATCTTTAGTCATATTGGTAAACAAACTTCAATCGGAAAAAAGGAGAGATTTTTGGTATTAAAAATTGAAATTCTAACTTTCACCGATGAAGAAGATCCGAGTTCAAATATCTCTCCTTTATGTTATCGGAGATGTGAGAGGAAGAAGTCGACCGGTGAGAGTGTAGTGTTGAACACAGCTCTTGAAGTTTTCAAAACCCAAACGCTGCCACCAAACCACATCAACTATCATGTTCTGTATAGTAAACAGATGATATATATTTATATGAAAACGTGGGTTTAAATTTCGTTGATGTGCTCAGATTCGAACCACCGACAAAGTGTTTAACCTACAAACAACGAAGAAGATGCGTGTACATTGAAATTGTAATTACAGTTAAAGTGGGAGGGTATTTGTGGAATTACCAATTTTTACGCTGTGACAGATTTAACATCATACATAACTCTATCAAAATAAATCTATCACGACTATCTAAAAAAACTTTTTTGCAGGATTGCGGTTTTAACGATTTTAAGTCTACCCCCACATTGTCTCGCTAACTCTGTCACCAAGCAGTCGTAAACCCACAACTCTATCGTCACATACATAAAGTCTTCCACCACTATTCTGACACACTGTGACACGCTAGTAATTAGTTTGTTGAATAAGTCTGTCCGATTATATAATAACTCTATCATAATCAATTACTCTACTTTCACTAGTCACAGACTTTGTTCCTAAATTCAAACTCTACCACATTACTCTGTTTTTCTTAACAACTCTATCATAACCTTTGTTAACTCTACCAATTAAATCTATTTCCTAAATTACTCTGTCATAACTGCATGTAAGTTTGCCAAACATATCTATTTTACATATTACTCTGTCACCACTATAAACAACTCTACCAAATAAATCAACCAAAAATACAAAAATCTATCAATCTTACTTCAATCTACTGTGTCTGAACCATAGATTTATCTAACATATCTGACAACTCTGTCATAGTTTATTAAAACTACCATGAAAATCTGTCACCTACAAAAATCTGTCGCTACATCCAAAAATCATCTCTTTTTCCCGCCGCTTGCTTTTTCCCAACTCCCTCCTTTTTCATGGCATATCTGTAATTAATTCTAATGGCATTTCTGTTATTTTTTTTTCGCATAACACATACTTGAGGGCAAGATTGCCTTTTAAAAAAGATAATACTATTGCTCCAAAACCATGTCATTTTAGTTATTTTCAACTTAACTAGGCCTTTTGAGTAACTCTCCCTTACCCTTAATTAACTTTTTCCTTTGTAAGAATTTATTTAAGAATGCCATTAGAAATAAAATTTTATAGAGTAAATTAATTCAACTCATTAAAGATAAACAAGTCAAATACTATTTTATGCAATTTAATTATAAAAACGAAAATCTATTATTAATTTCTTTAAAAAGAATGACCAATCAAAATGAACATATAAGATTTGATATCTAACTTACCATATTAATTTGTTATTAATCATTATACTTCACCTCTCATCTTTATATGATTCTATTTCTATAAATAAATAAATCATTATATCATCTATATAATAATAAAAAGTAAATTTTTTTCCCCATATACCAAAATTTGAATTTTTAAAAACGAATATAAATTATTCAATGTATGAAAGAACAAATTTAACGGGTCAAAAATTCATATTTGAGTAATATATTCATTTTTTTTAATATCATCAATACTTAATAGATCAAAAATTTATGAAGTATAAATACTCTAATTTGATTTTTTAAAACAAATATTTATAATAGGTGGCGGGTTGAATATAATATATTATATGATGAAATGAGTTATGATCCTTATAAATATTTGAATATTTATATTTAATTTCATATCATTTTTTTTTAATTCATAATTTTACATAATACAATAAAATTTTTTAAGGATTTTAATTTGGAACATTTTAAAATAGTTTAATTTAATATATTAAAGAATATCATAAATATTTAATAGACTAAAAAGATAAAAAAAATTATAAATACATTAATTTGATTTTCTAAAAAGATATGTTTAAAATATTTATAGTAGGCGGCGGGTTAAATGTAATATATTATATGGTAGAAAGTTATGATCCTTATAACAGACGGTATTTTAAGATTTTATGATGAGAAGAGTTAAATAAGGTTTGACACTTCTAAATATTTGAAAATTTGATTCTGCAAGTAATTTTGAAAATAATAAATAATAGATTGTGCCGCAATATTTTCATACGGATTGTAAAATGAAAATATAGACTCCACACACGGATTGAATTTGGTATTATTATATACCAAATATATGTTCATAACATATTTGATTATGTGAATAATTGGTAAATTTCGTAATTAGCTCAAACAAATATCTATTTCAACAACCAATGAATCAGAAAAAATAATTTCCTAAATTAATTCAAAATAATAGCTAATTTTCTTAAGTAATTCAAAATAATCTACGTTTTAGATGCGATGCATTTATGATATTTTGATTTTTGATCTAACTAAATTATATGCACTCTCATTTTGTGGTTGTTAACATAAAGGGAGACTCACAAAAATGCCCTTTTTCAATATCCCTTTTCAAAAATGCCCCCTTTGGCTGTCTATTTTTAAAAATACCCCTTTTTATGTACAAAATGACTAAATTACCCTTCTTTTAATAAAAGATATCACACTATATAAGGAAAACATGAGAATGTGCACACATCAAAATTACAAATTTGATTTTGTAAAAACTTGTAAAACCTTTAAAATACCTTATAAAATTTTCCCGCAAAAAAATTTTTTTGCGGGAAAAGTGATTCCGCAATTTTTTTGGAGTTAAATTTTTGGCGGGAAAAAATTTACAAGGTATTTTAAAGGTTTTTTACAGGGTATTTGTAAGGTTTTACAATGTATTTTAAAAGGTTTTACAACGTATTTATAAGATATTTATAATATATTATAAGATTTTACAAGCTATTTTATAAGATTTTACAAGTTATAAGGTTTTACAAGTTTTTTATAAGGTTTTACAAGTTATAAATACCTTATAAAACCTTATAGTACATTGTAAAACCTTTTAAAATACATTGTAAAACCTTACAAAACACTTATAAATACTCTGTAAAACCTTTAAAATACCTTGTATATTTTTCCAGCCAAAAATTTTCGCCAAAAAAATTGCAGAATCACTTTTCCCGCAAAATATGTTTTTTGGCGGGAAAAATTTTACGGGAAAATTTTACAAGGTATTTTAAAGGTTTTACAAGTTTTTACAAGTGTTTTGGTGGGAAAATTGCAGGATCACTTTTCCCGCCAAAAAATATTATGTATTTTGTGGACCTAATTTTGTTTCAAATAAGGGTAAAATGGTCATTAAAAATTAAAAGAGGGCAAACTTAAAAATAGACTCTCAAAGGGGGTATTTTTGGAAAGGGGTATTGAAAAAGGGGCATTTTTAACAATTTCTCTAACATAAATTAACTCATTGTTCAAACAATATTAATTTTTTAAAAAAATATTCTTATTTTCCGTTTTCATATCTTAAAAAAAAAAAAATCCATAATTGAATATTATAGAAAAAGGAAAATATATTCATTCTAATATTATATATAGGGACTGACAAAAAATTATTATTTTTTCACTTACTATTATAATATATCACAACTTTATTCTAAAACATAAAATTTATAAATTTTGTAATAAATGAAATTCAACCCGTATTGTAGTATGGGTGATGATCTAGTTGTTATTAGAAATTTTCTACGTCTCGCAGACTTTCACAGACGCAGAAACACGCTATCCACAAACTGAAAAACTCGCCCTCGCATTCGTAATGTCAGCTAGGAAACTACGACCATACTTCTAGTCCCACTTCATCGTTGTAATGGCACCCATACCGCTCCGCGCCATCTTACACAGTCCGAGCCAATCAGGACGACTAGCCAAATGGGTAGTGGAACTCTGCGAATACGCCATCGAGTACAGAAATAAAACATGCGCAAAGTCCCAAGTCCTGGCAGATTTTATCATCGAATTGCCACCTGAAAACACTCG